CCCCCCCCTGTCACTTTGGGGGCACCTCCGCCAAAGTGGACAGGCGCGACCGACGGGGCTCGGCTGGACAGAGAAAGAGGGGCAGGGCAGGGGAGTGCATTGATCCACATTCGCGTTACACATTCCCTCTGCCCGGCATCGCCTGAATCGCGGCGGAACGGAAGGGGGGGCTGAAGCAGGCGGGGCGATAACGCAACCACAAAGCCATAATTATGGAGGGAAATGGGATTTCGACGAGACGAAAATGGTGTCTCCCCTCCCTCAGTTGCGGCGGAAACTACTCGCGGCGGGCCATGCCGTGCTTGCCCCCGCTATATACTTGTCTCTTGTTTCCCAAACTCATCACCATGGCGTTCCTGCGCCAAAGCGTGGGCGGGGGAAAAGAGGAGGAAAGGGGGCCATTCTCGTGCAGTTCTCAAATCCACGAACACGTCTAGCGAAGGGACACAGGAACAGCACAGTTATTGGCCGGAACACGTGGTGGAGACAGGGACGACGAGTACTAAAAATTCAATCTGTGAGCGAGAGAAAGAGAAGCCGTTTGCACGCTGGCAATGCCTCCGTCGTCGGCGGCGTCCTGTAAACCGACGCAGACAGGACGCTACGCCCCATACCGGCGGTGCGGACCGGAGCACACCGGACCTGCTCTGGCATTATCGACGAGCAGACCTCTTGGCCCACTCCATTCTGTTTGCCCATAAGGGCCGGGCCGGGCATCAACTAACTCGTCAAATCCGCCCACACCTACAACCCCACCCCACCCCACCTCGACGAGCTGTACTCACTTGATAAGATGGCCCGCTGAGGAGCGCTGGGTGGTCAACTGCGTCATCGTCACCGTCATAACGGCAGAGCAACGCAACTTCACTCTTGTGCACGATATAAACGAGTACCGTAACGAAATTGTAAACTTTTTAGCAGCTTACGCGAAAAAAATTAACAAAAATCAAAAGCTATCTGTTTCATAAAAAAATCACAACAAGCCTCGATCAGAAATATATACAGCCGTATACATTTGACGAGCGTGGGTGCGATCAGTGGCAGGTCGGGCTGGCGAGGCGGAGGCGAGTAACCGGAGGCGACCGGTGGGCGAGGCACAGATCACCAGAGTCGCGCGTCAGTGTCTGCCGTACGCTGCCCGTTCAATGACAGGCCAGAAACAAACGTGACAGGCGACTGCCACGCCCACTGGCGGCGAGATTTTGAACTAATGACCCAAAACCGAAGGTACAGGGTAGAAAAATCGTAGAATAGAGAAGGATAAATTGGGGAAATGTACCTGCTTGACATGGTGATGGGAAAAACATGATGATGAATGAATAAAAAAAACAAAAAACAAATAAATCCCAAACTCTGATTTTTCAATTTTTACACCAGAACATGCTGAAAGATAAAAGTAGTTTTCTAGGGAATATGAAAATACTACAGTCGACCCATAATACATTTTCATGACTAAATGAGAAGACGCTGCCTCGTCCTCGACGGCCTCGTTTGCTAAAATGCACCGGCTGTCATATTTTTTTTCTGTTTGAGATCCTTTGCCGGAGCGGCGCTACGGCGGCGCGTCGCGGCAGCGCGTGAGAGGAAAGACAACAGAGAAATGAATGGGCGAGCGCAGCAGCCGTGCGCCGGGGGCTGCAGGTGTCGAGAACGCCCGCGGGAGAGAGCCACCGTCTCCGTCTCTCCCGCGCTCTGTCGGCTTTCGTTATTCTTTCTTTTTCACGAACCGGAAGTCGAGAGTTTAGAGGTTCCTCTGCGCGAAATCGCGAAATGTCGCGCGGCCCGTTGACCAAACGTGAAAAATAGTAAAATGAGGAAAATGAAATAAATTATGATGGAGAGAAATTGGAAAGGGCTGCCGGCATTCTTGAAGCGCGATTTGAACTTTGTCGCGCCGGTGATAGATTGAATGGCGATCGTGATTGAGCGCGAGGAGGTGGGGGAGGGGGGGGGCGAATGGCAAAACTGCGGGGTGACGTTCGGGGCGGAATAACGAGAGAGCTCTGTCACGGCCGGCGGGGCCTGGCTGTCAGCGGAAGTACTGCTCGAAACAACAGAAAAGGGGGGGGGGGGCTGAGGGACCTGGAACACGGAACGACAGTAAACAAGGGGCGTGGAGAGACATTGTCTTGGAGTTGTTCGGGTATTTTTAACACAATAGAGGTACAGGTGCAAATGCAAGTAACGAGATCGCGGACGGAGAATGTTGGCGCTTGAGGGAGTAGGCCGATTCTTTGCTTTTACTGCTTTTCCCGTTTGATCCTCGTTATATCTGTTGGGCTTTCGTGTTTGAATCCTCAGAACGAAAAGGAACGAAGTCTTCATTTTCCATCCCTGGTTCAAATTAATAGCTCTGGCCTCCGTTTTCCAGATGGGTGACTCGAAAATCCTCTGTCAATTTTACAAAGGCCATATCTGCGCCTAACTGCTTCGCACATCCTTTCTTCATCCTTCGTTCGATTCAAGAAACTTTTGGCGTGCTCTTCTTTTCGTCGACAAAGAAATCTGCCGCACAATCGCGCAGCAGGGTTTGTGACGTGGGCGGGATATAGGGTAAGGTGTATAGCCTCCATTACACCTTAGGATAGGGTAGGTAGGTGTGCTTGTAAGTTTGTCTCGCTACCCAACCAATTTCCAATTGTCTTCCTGGAGGACGTGGGCAGCTGGCAGGCGGGTGGAGCCGTATGACCGCTGAAGAATGGGGGATCGCATTGTCCCTCTCAGCTTTAAACTGACCCCTTTATTGCACAACCCGGCCTTTGGGTCTGACGGGTCTGACCCCAGCTGCCCCAGCTCGCCCGCCCACACCGCTGCGGTGCTGCTGCTGGCCGTGGTTGTGTATCCGTCCGTCACAAACTTTGACCCAAATTAAAGTTTGTGGCGTCGCTCTTTTCATTTTACTTACTCGCCACATACCACCGGGGGAGAACGCGCCATATACCGGGGCAGCAGCGGCCATGCCACACAAGGGTGAAAATAACAAAAACAGAGCGGACGAGAAAGAAATGGGCCAGCGGAGAAATAAGAGGGCCGAGGTCGAGGTGGTGGTCGTGAGGGGAGGGGGTGGGGGGTAGTGTTATCGCTGCTAATATTCGCCTCGACTCGTCCGTGTAAAGCCCGCTGATGAGAGCGCCGGGCCGCTGTGTGCAAAGTGGCCTCCTGGCTCCGGGCGAGGGGGAGCGGGGGGAGGGGCGGGCGGCGCTCCCCCAGAGAGAGAAAACGTCATCATCATGGCCATTTCTGGGCAGCGCCGGCAAGGCGAGGGTAGGTGGCTGCCGGGGGGCGCGGATTTCAAAGAAGGCCGTTTTTATTCTCTCCCCGCCGGCTGAAAGGTGGGCGGCGCACCCGCGCCCTCAATAAAAACAACGGGTCCCCCCGTGCCGAGGGTGAGTGGGGAGGACGAGAGCCGAGGTGGGCGCCTTCCGCTCGCTCCCTCGAGATGAAAGGCGGAGCTGAATCAGCGGCCAGAAATTAAATTCCGCGGGTCTAAAGGTGGAGACGTCTCGTCTCGCGCGCTGCTGCGGGTAACTTGGTGTGGACTCAGGTCTGACCCAACCTCACTCGGGGCCGCCGCGCCACCGCGGGTGGCTCAGGCCGGCTCGGCGCGTCTGCCTTCACCAGGGGGTTAAATTCCCGTCGGGGGTTTCGCTGGTTCGCCAAGCCCGGGCCTCACCGATAGCAGTGTGATGGATGTGGGTCCCTGGGGGCCCCGCCCGGCCGCCCGCCCCGTGGGGCGATGCTGGCGGAGTTATGGCTGCAGGGGTCCAGGCCCGTCCACCCCGGTGCATAACGCCACCACCATCACCACCACCACGGCCACCACCACCACCACCACCACCACCAACACCAGCGGGTGATGACCTGGAACTCCACCACCGGCCGCGACGTGCCGCCCGCCCCCGCCCAGCAGCAGACCTTGGGGCCTCGGCTCCCGTCGCGGCGCTAGAGTTCACGGCAGTCCAAGTCCATTTCGTTTCTGTCGGCCCCGAGACAATATTGACTCTGCCCCCCAGCGGGGCTCCGCTCCGGGCTGGCAGCGGCTGCTCTGGCGGGGTCCTCCCATAGTGCTGGGGTGCAGAGGGGCCCACCACCACCCCCGCGCGCCCTGGTCGGCCTTTCGCGGGGGCGCCGCACCGCGTGCCCTACCGGAGCTCCACTCGCGCCTAGATGCGGATGTTGTGCGAGATGGGGAGAAAGATAGAGGCAGAGAGAGTAAGAGAGAGAGAGCCATGTCAGCTTCCGCTACACCCGCGGCCTTAGTAGTGCGACAAAGAGACAGAGAGAGAGAGACAGAGCCGTATGGCCGCCCCCGCCCCGCGGCGTTCAGTGTTTGCGATACACGATGACGAAGGCGGGGCGGGAGAACGTGAGAGGGGCACAGAGAGCCCGACACAGACCCCCAACCCCCTTTTCTACTCCCCCGCCCTACTGATAGCGCGAGCGCCGCGGCGGTCTCACTTGGACTCGGGTTGGGTTGAAATTGCTGGAATTGGGTCCGATAGCAGCTGCTGCTGCTGCCTCCGCCTTTCATCTCTCAACTCCCCCCGCCCCCACTCTCTTAC